TTTTCCATCAAGCGGGATTGGCCTAGGGGGGGGATTGTATAGGGATTTTAATAGGGATTTTATAACTTTTCTAAAAATAACAGGCTTATTTAATATATATTTTAATTGTTTTTAGATATTTATTGTATAGTTCCGTTTTTATTGCCTGTAAGCCGCCCTGAGTCCTTCGGGAGAAGGGCGGGATATAAATTAAAGTAAACAAACAAACAAACAAACTCCTGCTAGGAAAGCTGTGCCCCATCCTGACGAGCAAGTGCTAAGCTTTGATGTCACCTCTCTCCGGAAAACACTGCAGAAAGTTAACATTCGGAAACAGCAGACCCAGATAACAGACCTGGACATGCTCTTAGGGAATTCGCAGATGAGCTGGCTTGTGTTCTCACAGATATTTTCAATCTCCCATTGCAGCAGGCAGTGGTCCCATCGTGTTTTAAGACAGCCATCATCTTGCCAGTACCGAAAAAGTCCACAATTACAGGCCTCAATCATTACCGTCCGGTTGCACTGACATCCGTCATTATGAAATACTTTGAGACGCTGATAAAGGACATTATTGTATCTAGCCCCCCGGCAACATTAGACCCGCTTCAGTTTGCCTACTGACCAAATTGCTCTACGGAGGATGCTAATTCTTCCATTCTCCATCTGAGCTTGAAGCACTTAGAGGAAAGAAATACTCATGTGCGTTTGTTGTTTGTCGACTTCAGTTCAGCATTTAACACAATCATTCCCCAGCATCTAGTAGACAAACTGGGCCTTTTAGGCTTAAACACTCCTTTGTGCAACTGGATTCTTGATTTTCTTACCAACAGGCCCCAATATGTGCGAATTGGAACAAATTCCCCTAATACCATTTTCTTGAGTGCCTATTTTGAAAGAATGTATGCATTTACAATCCTGAAGGAAAGCCAAAGCCATCTCCCTCTATAATTATATTCTGTATGAATCTACAGTGTTTTTGATTTTTGGATGTGAAATAAATATTTTTCCTTTCCATTATATATAATGCACAACCTTTTTCTTCTAATCAGTGGCATTATCATTCATTCTATATTTACTCACAAGTCAGGAACATCATGATCCAGAGATTCTTCAGTTTGATTTTTGCTGTGAGCAGAGTCACCTTCTTGTATTTGACCCACTTCTTCATCTGTTATTATATCAAATATTGAATCATCTGTAGACTTAGAGGTTTCGTTTGTAACTGTGCCAAAGGAGAAGATACAAAAAATATTATTTATGTAGCAGGAAATACACAAAAAGTAATAATTGTAGGCTTGGGCTGCCAGAAAAGACATTAAACAAATTGCATTGATATTTCACCAATAGACATTTCTTATGTACTGTACTGTACTCCAAAAAGTCACCACTACATGTAGAATGGCAGCCTCCAAGATGTTTTAAAAAGTGTCTGTTTCTAGTAGCATACAGCATGCATCCATTTCTGCCTAATCCACATAAAGTTCCATAAAGAAAGGTTCTGATTTTTGAGCTGAAGGAGAATCTACTGCTTTGTTGGATTTTGAGTGCTGCATATGTACTGTTAAAGTTCTAATACCTACAAAATTACCTGAACACGAATGAAACATGTATTTGAAAGAAAATCCAGAAGCTTTACGTGCTCTTTTGCACATATTTCCATCACAGTGAACATTGCACTATTGTGGGGAAAGATGGGACAGCAAAGAAAATAGATCATTCTAGAATGTCACCATCCCAGTTTCACAGGATATTTCTAATTTCCTCATTAGATTCTCCTAATTAGAAAAATATGTCCTGGATTATTTAACAAGCTGACCAAAAAATAGTGTAATATCTAATCTGAAGTTTTTGTAAAGTCACAGTAAATTTGGAAAAAAATGCTGAAGCTCACCCAAAATTTTGCGGACCAGGGACAATGGTGAGGCCAGCAGACTTGATGATGGTGATTCTTCTGGTGTAAAGTTTAATTCAGAATCAACAGGATTGGCAGTCACTTTTTTAAAACAAGCTCGACAACAGCGTTCTTTCTTTCCAGTTTGCTTTGAAACGGCATAATGGTTGCAGCAGTAATAGCAGAAAATGCGGCCACACATTCTTAAAAAACAAAGTAAAAACATATTTAAAATTAAGCACTTATGGGACACAATTTTCCATACAGAAAAAAACTTACTTTCTTAATAGTACTATAGTACTAAAACCAGATACCCTTGAAATCATTAGAAATATTAAAATTATATCTGAAAAAATATTTTATTTTATTATCAAATATTAACAGCAACCAGAAATTATTTTTAACAGGTTAATCTTTTCTTTCTTTCATTCTACACTTTTATTGAGAAATGAACTGTATTATTGTACTAAATTCAGGATGCAATTTGATGTTCTAGGACTAGTTTAAGCAATTAAAGCCTTTTAGTTGATTAATAACATTGCCTTGAATCTTCTCTTCAATTCATCAAATAAAAGATGACATCCTGCTACACGTGATTTCCTAATAAAACATCTATGCATATGTACATCAAAATCTAAACCAATTCATTTTTGCCAAGTTTTAATAACAGTCAATATTGTCATTTTATCATTTAAAAATTGAACAGGATGACTGAGAATTCTACTTACAGAAATACATATAGGCTAGCTACACACAGCAAAATCTGCTACAACTCTCTGCAAAAATATTGCTGCAATGGTCATAAGTGTGAAAAACAGCCATAAGTCATTTTGTCAGTACTGTTGTAACTTCAAACTGTCAGTAAATGAATGGTTGTAAGCTGAGGATTTCTTGTATGATCAAATACTGAATTCAAAGTAAAGCAACATTACTGAAGGTTCTGGAGTATATAATAGATGGACCTCTTCCCACAGACATCTTCTTGTATTTGATAAAACACTTCTTAGTAATAACTTAATAAAATAATAGTAACAATTTCTTTTGATCTGAATCACTAAAACCTTGTTAAAGAGCTTCACATTGGGGATGGTGTGTATGGAAACTGCACTTCTGACTCTAAGTAAGCAACTGATGCAAATAACTCAGCACTTCAGCTAAATTACTGTCTTAGCCCAAGAATAATCCACAGAGAATACAGAGTCCTTCAGTTTAATGACACTGCCATCTATCCAGATTCAGCCATAGTTTCATTCCATACAGCATTAACCTTGTGAACTCTCAAGCTTCCTCCTTCCGTTATATATTCAAGATGAACAGTATTTAATATTTATTTGCTACGTATATGGAGGGGTGTGGGTCTATACATATGTTGTTTATAGTATGTTTAGGTGTGTGTCATGTATGTGTTTCACTTTGAGAGCGGGCAACTAAATTTCATTTTTGATGTGTGCCGTTGTGCCCACAGTAAAAAAATGACAATAAAGGTTATCTTATGTTATCTAAGCAAAAGGTTAAGAAAAGTACAGGTATCATGGCAGTATATTTGGATCCCCCATCTATTTGTATGTGACACATATACAAAAGGTCAGAGTTTGACCATGCTGCTGCGAATGCAGTTTTGCCTTCCAATGAAGGAGAATATTTGTAGCTCAGGATTGAAACGAAGAGTCCTTAGTGCTCTCTGAGCTTGTTTTCTTGCAGACAATTCGTTACCCTAACTAGGTAACATCATCAGTGCTAGTAAAGAGTGCTGTTTGCTCTCTGTTTATATTCTGGTTTCTTGCCTGTCTGGGTGGGTAGGGGCGGTCTTAGGGATTCTTTGGTTGAGCTATTTACCAATGGCTCTTTGGCAGTTTCTTGATTGGGATATTGCTTATTTGATTGTTGGTCTGACGTTGACCTTGGAATTCATCCATGCTGAACTGAGTGCTGATTATTGGTGGAGAGGTGCTGGAGTCTTTTTCTCTTTGGGGCTGGTTGACTGTCTCTTTTGCATAATCTGTAGATGTTGTTAATATCTATGTGTCTATTGATGACTGATTTGTCAGAGTGCCAGGCTTCTAGAAATTTCCTGGCATTTTTGGATTTGGCCCTGCAGACAAAGGCCGAACCACAGTGATTGTGGACAGAGCACAATACAAACAAAAATCAAATGAAATATGGAGGACAAAGACTCATACCTCCCTGTGAACACCAATAGAATTCAAAAACTAGGCAACCATATCAAGAGAACCCCCAGTGACCTCACTAAGAAAGGCCAAATTACCAAAGAATAGTGGCAGATGAAACACACCTATCCTCCCATGCTTCTATGGATGCCCCAAAATACACAAACCTGGCATACCTCGTTCAATAGTATCTCTACCAGGGAACCCTAATACAGCATTGCAAAAGAACTAACAAGAAAGCTTGGGCATCTCACAAGAGATAGCCAACACTCCATTAACTGGGATGTGACTATAGATGAAGTTGAAATCATGGTCTAATTCGATGTCACAACCTGTTCATGTCTATATATCCAGAATTAGCCAAAGAATCCATGACCGCATTGCTTCGCAGTACATCCATAGAAGACTTTTAGAATAGAAAATGAGATTTTCTTAATGCAAAGTATGTGCTGTTCCTTGAATCACATATTTTCCTTGAATATTCATTGTGAAGACAGTAATTGTATTACCCTATCACATACTGTAGGGAGATTTTGACAGTTTCCACTTTTAGCCATACTGTATATACATTATGAGCAAAGCTCCTCTCATGAAGCATAAACGAAACATGGACATCTGAACCTAAGAGGATACTTCTTTCTTTCTTTCTTACAACCTCTAGAACTGAAACTCCAAATATCTTTTGAATAGTACTTTGGGTGGAACTGGGGACAAATCAAAATATGTGTAAAAATATTATAAAATAGGCCTGGGAAAATTGTGCTGATTGTTAAACATCAGACCAGTCAACAGTGCTCATATTTGTTCAATCCCCTCAAAATACTGACCTGCAATGATGTCGGCGATTCATCCAGCCAAATTCTTTTTGACAGTCTAAACAACAAGTGACTTCAGCATCACCAAGCCATCTTTGTTCGGCTATGAGCTTCTGCTGGAATTCCAGAGCATCTGATTTCTGCCAAAGAGCATCCTTGTCCCTTTCAAAGTCATATATGGAAAAATAATTTGTCATTTGATAATTTGTGTTTTAAAATCTTAAGCCTGGTCCCCTATAGGATAAATTCACTTTCTCAATTAAGAACTCTCTGATAAATCTAAAGTTGGTTGGAGTCCTGAGAGGCTACCTTGCTTTTTTTATTCCTTGTGGTATATAAAAAGTTCTGCTAAGTAGCTGCATGTGCTAGTCATAGTTGGTTTTAAAAACATAAGTAAGTTTGTATCTGGTTAGTTCTTGAATGAAGAAATATGAAGGTAATTGCCTAGTCTGGAAAATTAAAAAAAAATGGAAAAACTATTTCCATATTGCAACCAAAGCAAACTTTATGAGATATCTATGAACTTACCAAAAGTCCAGCTTGACTTGAGGGAGGCTTTATTTTTCAGCATATGAGAAATGTAATAATAAAATGGATACACAAATGCACACGTGCACGTGCGCGCACACACACATGTTCATATCAATAAACAAAAACAGAATTCTGGCTCATTAGGGAACAAGGAAATTCAGTGGCACCCAGTGCTCATTAATTCTTCTTTGTTTTTTTCCCTTAGCAGAAATAGATAATAAACTATGATTCTGTGATGAACATTATGTGTAAACTAGGACCGGCATTTTGAGCCTCTTTCAACATGTTACAATCATTAGCCAAAACCAAACTCTAGTCTATATCTTGGGCGATTAGGAGTATAATGACCCAAGGTTCCCACGTGAACATATTGTTAAACCAATAACAGAATCCTTCTGGTTTGTTTAGCCAAATTTCCTACGCAATGTCATAAACTGATCATCTGTTACAATTCAGGAAGTTTTGGCTGCAGTTACTGCAATTAAAAATGGTACAATCAGCTATGAAATCTAGAGGGGTAATTACTTTTTCACAATGGCGCACTGCATATTGGATGACTCTGCTTACAAACCAGCACCAATTTGTGGTGATCTGTTCATTCAGATTCATTTTATATATCAATAGGACATAATTAGGCTCTGATAATAATGAATGGCAAACATTCAGAAAATCCAAAAAAGGACAAATATTTTATGCAGAATTTCACATAGAAGAACACAGAAGAATAAATTTACAAAATAGAACCAGACAACAAAGCTACCAAACACCCAAGGAAGCTAACTTATTACAAGCATATGGACAGCCAGCATTTGGGTCTAATGTTAAATAAATATTATCAGAGAAGCAGCACTTTTTTCTCTGAAACTTTAAATGTCAAGCTATCACCCACAAACCACAGGATTTAACAAATAGTCAAACATAGGATGAAAAAATTAGTCAACAGTGCAGAGTGTGATTCCACAACCAGATAGAGGTTATATTGCTTCCAATCAATTACACATGCATAAGAAGAAGATAATGAATATTCTTGAGTCTGCAAATAAATTCTTCCGTTTTAGATTTAAAACAAAACAATGTATTTGCAGATTCAACAATATTAATTTCGTCTCGTCAGTAAAGAACAAGTGAGAAGAGTCTATTTGGGCTGATATGTGCATTTGACTACATCACAATCTTTTGCTTTGTTGAATTTTTGATATAATCAGACTGGTCAGTGCAAAGTTTTAAATATGAGTTGCTTTTTAAATGTAACAATAAAATGGAAAATACAAAATGTTTCCATTAATATTTTCTAGCCCCAGGAGTGTTATTGATATGCATATTAACTGTATTCATACTGCATATTTTCAGTTTGAGATAAGGTGTAATATGTTTTGGATGTTCATATTATTTTGTACTATATGTCTGTTATATGGAAACTGATGGGCTGGATAACAGAAATGGATTCCCTATGCCCTTATTGTTAAGAGGCTAATCTTTCAACACTAGAAAGATAAATTAATGGCCCAACTGACCTCCAAGGGATAGAATAACAGAATCACAGAATTGTAAGGGACCTTGGAGGTCTTCTAGTCCAACCCCCTGCTCAGGCAGGAAACCCTATACCATTTCAGACAAATGGCTGTCCAGTCTCTTCTTAAAATCTTCCAGTGTTGGAGCATTCACTTCTGGAAGCAAGTTGTTCCACTGATTGTTCTATCAGGAAATTTCTCCTTAGTTCTAGGTTGCTTCTCTCCTTAACTAGTTATTGATGTTCCTTATGACTTAAGACTGAATTGGTTATGGATGTGGATTACAGACAACCTCTCTTATGGACTACAACTCCATCACTAAGCAATACAGTCACAAAGTGAAACATCGTGTGACTGCACTGAATTTTATCAGTTTTGGATGCAGCTGTGAAGAAAATCACCGAGTCATTAAGTGTGAAATCACGTGACCATGATTTGAGACTTCCTCCAACTTCCCCAATGACTTTTTTTATCAGGAGTCAGCTGTGAAGACTGCAAATGGCAATCACGTGCCTGCAGGATGCTGTGACTGTTATAAATGCAGAACAGTTGCCAAGCACCCAAATCAAAATTAGATGACTGCAGAGGGAGCTGGAACATCTGCAATTTCAAGGATCAGTCATAAATCTCCTTTTTCAGTGTTGTTGTAGTTTCCAACAGTTGCTAAACAAGCACACTTACAATGGAATATGGAGACATCCTTTATCCTAACAGTTGTATAAACTTCAATGTATATCTATAGGAAACTATGTTTGTTCTATTGTATTCTATTTTTCTCTTATTATTTGTTCTATTAAACAAAGCAAACCAAAGCAACACCCCCAAAAAACTACTATTGTGTTGCTGTTGCAATAGAACATTATCCAAATAAACAGTCTCCATAACCACTTCATCCTCAGATCTCCTCAACTCACCTAGATTCTCCTAATACAAAAACATTGGGAAAATGTAATAAAAAATGTGGTATTGCCATATGCCAGAATATGAAATTGGATAGAGAGTTGTGGAATAAATTAGGACTTCTGAAGGCCTGGAAGCAAACTCCGTTCCTGAATGATAACATAGTTCCTGGTTAAAAAGGGGAGAAATATTGTTCCTTCTAGAATTCCAAATGGACAAAAACGCATGATTAGTGCTGCAGAGAAGAATACAATATATTTAGAATATACCGAATTGAAGATTTTTAAGATAACTTTGTGGGGTACTGCCAACCATAAATATGGCTTTAAATTCTGTAGCAGTAAAATTTAGAGGAGAAAAAATAAAAAGATTTTTTCCACTTGATAATGAGGTTATCTAAAAATAAATCTACCAACCTGAGAAGTTCAATTAGTTTTTCCTCTAAGAACTTCTTTGTTTTAGTTAGATCATCCAGTTCAGCCAGTAACTTGGCCTCATTGTTGTCTTGCTCTGATTTCATCTCGTTGAATTTATCACAGTGGTCTTGAATTTGTTCATTTGTTCTGCTGACTTCTGTCTGGGCTCTGTTCAAAAACATATTCAATTTTCCTTAATTGCTTTTATTGCTATCCAGACCACAATTAACACTAGAAATAATACTATTAATCTTCACAGAGCACTAAATATGAAAATGAATCTAGCAGATAAGACTTTAACTTCTTTCAAAAAAAATTTGTCAAACTATCAACCTAGATTTTTTTTAAAATAGATATTGTGAAACAGCAGTCATACTTTACATTAATTTAAACGTTCATAGAGATCGGAATGCAGATCAAAACTAAATATTTGTAATTGATAATAGATTTCAACCTGAAGAACAGAGTTAACCTCACCCACTTAAGAGCAATTTTGCCTATCCTGGCTCTCTGCAGCTATATTGAATTATCATTTTCAGAGTTTCAAGAAATGCTGGAAGGGAATTCTCAGAGTTGATTTCCATTTGAAACCAATTTGCAGTTGGTAAACAATATTTAAAAATTTCTTATCCTTAAGAAGGACAACAGATTTTTGGGCACCACTTTGAGGCCTCAGAAAATTCTCTTGTGTTCTGAACAAAAGGTGTATATAAAAGGGAACTCTTCTGTACAAGGTAATGCAAAGGTTGATTTTAAGTTGGGGAGGGCACAAAGTATCACTTGACAGCATACTACCCTACCTTAATTTTGTTAGGTCTGATTTTGTCTCCCTCCTTATTCTGCTAAACAGAACCATTAATTTCTGTCACTGTGTCCTGGCTTGCTTGCTTATTAATTTATTTTATTCATAACCATATTTATGTGGCTGCCCATCTCACCAAAACCGAGTCTTAATATAACTCTTGTGGTAGTCATGTATAGCCTACATGTTTTGATAAACTGTTTATCTAATCTAGACATGTATTAGATGAATATATTGCATTCACATAAAAATGGTGCTATTGTTTCACTTTTTATTTTTTTTTCTTATGGTGAGGTTATTTTTGTGTTTTTTATAATTTCATGTTAATTTTATTTGTGTTCATTCTAATCAATATCTACATTAGAGGCTATACTTTTGAATAAAGAGCAAAGTAAATATTTGCAAATATAACAAAATTAATACAAGCAATCTTCAACTTATAACCATTCGTTTAGCAACTTACAATGGCACTGAAATAAGTGACTTATGAATATTTTTCACACTTAACTACCATGGCATGATCAAAATTCAGATGTTTGAAGAAGCCAGATTCACTTAATAACTGTGTTATTAACCTAATAACTGCAGTGATTCCCTTAGCAAATGTGGCAAGAGACATCGTAAATGGAAGAACATTCACTTAAAAACTGCTAAGTGTGCTTTTTCTGTTGCTTAGCAAAAGAAAATTTGGGCTTAGGTATGGCTGTATGTTCTATGTTGAGGACTACCTATACAATTGTACAATACAATCAAGTAAAACACGTATTATATGTACATGTATATCACTGCAATTGCAGGAAGCTCTTTAAAGCAAGCCTGGCACTTTCATAATACCATAATGCCATTTCTACTTCTCCAAATTACATTTAAACAGGCCCTCAGTGGTTTTTATTACATCTGACTCTTGAAATGTTGAAAACATTATGAACTGAGAGTTTGCCTCCTGCAGCTTGTAGAAAGGTGCAAGATCAGCATTCAATCAGCGTTCTGTCTTCCTTTCACATTTTCAGTTCACATTATGTGCACTGATGTGGGGATCTCTCCATTACCAGATTAGTAGCCACGGAGAGGAAGAGCTTTCAAACTCTAGAGGCAAAATTGTCTGGTTATCTTTAAAAAAAAACTATAAAGGAACAGCTTCTCTGCAAGATACTACAGTAGCTGATCCTCTATTATGATAGGAAAAGGACTGATTTAAGGAGTTACAAGTCACAAGAATTTCCACCAAACAAAAATAGTTGCCCCTACATTCTTCACAGTAACGTTAGCACTCACAAAATATGGTTTGAGATGTATCACAGCTGGAAATAAATCAGATCTGCTGACAAACACAGAATGTGGATGTCTGGAAGCGCAAAGACCAAGAGGGGAATATCTTCAATATTATTGTCCCCCTTGATACAAATTGTGGGGTCAGTGAAGAAGAGCAAAATAATTCTCCCAGTCACTTGGCCACCATTGGCATCACTGCCCATGATAAAAGAGCAATACAAATAATAGAAGGCACTTTTTAAATCCCTGCATTATAATGCTTCCGGGGGGGGGGGGAAACCCTACATTTATTTATAATATTTGTTCATTCTATATATTTATATACCCTTTCAAGACTGAAATTATTTCAGTTAAGCTCCAACCTTTTAAGATCTTCTTTCAGTTCTGCAATTTCTTCATCTTTTTTTTGCTGGATTGCTTTGTACTCAGTCACTTGATCCATGGAAAGGTTCAGTTGTACATGCAGGTTTCTTTTCACAGCCTAGCAAAATGATATTGTTAACTGAATAGAAATCAAGCTCTATTTAATCTCCTAGTTGGAATAAACAAATAATAAAACAGACAATTTAGGGTTTCCATGGTGTTAAGGAACGATAGTAAATACCGACCAAGTGGATGTTCAAAGAAGAACAATTTTGATGATATATTAAGTTGATAATCTATGCAATGTTTTCCAACAAAATGGACAGCCATGTAACTTTATCAAAAAGTGCCTGACCACTCAACCCAATATAGCACAATGAACAACTGTGAAAAGAATATAACACTGCCACATATTAAAAACATTTCAGAAATCACCAAAAGACTTACAACCACATAAATCAACCAAAGCCCTCTGAAACATCCTAAGTAAACAAAACACCCAAGAACCCTAGAAAGAAAAATAAGTGTCATCTGCAACATACACTTTTGTAGCCACTGTCTAGGACAAACAAGTAGAAGATTAGCTGAGTACATCCATGAACACCAACTAGCACTGATTAGACATGATGAAAACTCCTTAATTTCACAACACATGGACAGACGTAAAGTTTCAGCTGGGAAAAACTGTATCTTAGACCAAGAAGCCTGACACTCAGACAAATCAGCCATCAACAGGCACATAAAGATAAACAACATGTACATTCAAAAGAGACAATCAAAAAGTAAAAAAAGAAATAAAAAGACCAACAATTAAGAAGTAAACAATACCCCAATCAACTCAGGCAAACAACTAACATAAATAACAGTCTAATCAAGGAACCACCAAGACCATTCTCATCAACAGATAGGACAATCTCCTTGTATATAAAATGAGAGCAAACCCTACTCTCTTCTAGCAATGATGATTTGTTTGGTAATGAAATAGTTACAAGAAAACAAGCAATCTCAGAGGGCACCAAGAACCCCACAGTTCAACCCTGAGCTGCAAATATTATCTTTGATACTTTATCTAATGCTTAATGTGTTACGGTATAAAAGGTTGGTTAATTGTTTTTAATGCTGCATGCAACCCAGAGTCACACTGTTTAAGCTGGGCATTTTAAATTATATACCAAACATTTGGAATCATTCTATGAAGAACCATAGATTTATCAGCAATGGAGTATAGCAAAACAGATTATAATGCTTATTTATCTTTTATTATACTACAGATATCCTTCTACAAGTTACAAAGCTCGTGTTGGAGGAGGAAAACAAGCTGTGCCAAGGGATGATAGAGCTTGCTCTCCTTCCCTTGGCATCCGTAGATCACATGACTGCATCCAAGAAGCAATCGCCATTTTCAGAGTGGCTGCAATGAATTGTAGCTACTCTAAAAATGGCGCTTGCCAGTTGTGGAGGTAAGTGTGTAGTTTGAGTGCAGTGGAAGCAAGCATGCCCAGCTTTGCCCAGCCTGGTTTTCAAGCAGTGGGCTTTGTGCAACTGTCTGTAGTGTGTCTAAGGGTGAATGACTGCGGAGGTGCTGCAGAGGCCTAACATTGAAACCAAGATATAAGTAGCTTTTGGAGGGTCTGTTGTAACTTCAGATGATTGCTAAATGAAGACTATCTCTACTTGTTTACTTTCTGCTTATGAATTGGTTCTTTATTAACATACTGTAATAATAAGACTGACCAATATCGATCTGTATGGAACAGGCTTAATGCTGTTTAGAAACAGGCATTTTTACATACGTTTTAGAGGAATTTTCTCTGTACTATATTCTACATGCATATTATTTACATCTATTTACAATACTATAAATTATGAAGGATCCAATCTGGTTCGGTCATCAGGACTAGAGGTTTTGTCTTCCGAGCTTTCGGACTGGTACTGGAGTCCATCCTCAGGGAACTTCTCTGTCTGCTTTGGGCTGTTTTGTGTGTGGTTTTTATATAGTGCCTGTTGTGTCTAGCTTTTTAGATGTAGATTGGAGAATTGATGGCTGGCTATTAAGTCGGCTGTTATAATTTATATTTTTTCTGTTTTTCTTTCTTCTACTGTTTTTTTGTGTTAAAGCAATAAAAAGCATTTTTTCTACATTGTTCAAAAGACTGCCACAACTTTGATCTAAGCCAGGGCTTTTCAACCTTTTCACCCATTGTACCACTTTTAGGATATGGCAACATCCGAGTACCACCAGTCGCCTAGCAAGGTGTCAAAAACTTGATGACCAAAAAAAAAAAAAGGAAAAAAGTGATAAAGTACAGGTAGTCCTCGACTTACAACAGTTCGCTTAATGACTGTTCGAAGTTACAATGGCACTGAAAAAAGTGCCCCCCAAGCCACAGCTGAGCAAGACACCTGCCTGCCCACCCGGCGGCGCTCTTCCTCCTGTCCGAGGTTTTCATTGTTGTGAGCATTTCTGTTGAGGATTGGCAGTGGGGGTGGGGTGGGGGGGTGTTTGGTTTTTATTTCCCCCGTCTGCTGGGTGGTTGCAGCAGGTTTTGGTCACTTCACATGACCCTGGGACACTGTGACCGTCATAAATATGAATCAGTTGCCAAGCATCTGAATGTAAATCACAAGACCCCGGAGATGCTGCAACATTCCAGCTGATTGGCACTTCTTCTGGGCTCAGCAGAAGCACCAGGATCAGCGCCGAACTCCAGATGGAGCCTGGCGCTGATCCTGGTGCTTCCACTGAGTCCTGACAGCCCTGAAGAAGCACCGATCAGCTGGAAAGCGGCACTGATCCTGGTGCTTCCACTGAGCCCTGACAGCCCTGCAGCTCCAGCCATCTCTCGCTCAGGCTTGTGCGGTGCTGCCACCGGTTCAGCTCATTCTCCTCCCCCGCTACCCCTTTTCTAGGATGGTCGTGTACCACCTGTCAGGTGCCAATGTACCACAGGTGGTACCCATACCACTGGTTGAAAAGCCCTGATCTAAGCAATTCACAGGTTAGTAATTGTCTCCCAGGAAAGCGTAGAGATTCTAGGAACCACGTGCATTCTAGGAACCATGCATTGAAGAATTCTGCATCCTTGCCTCTCTGGCTTTCCAAAGTTTTGGTCTCGTTATTGCCAGGAAACAGGATATCAGTTAAAATTTAGAATTAGTTTATATATGATCTGTTCTCTTAAGAAAGTAATGTACAAGACTGATGCAGCTTACAAAGAGTTTACAGGCAAACTTTAGGAAAACCATAAAAATGCACACAGTATAAAGTATCATACATTTCTGGACAATAATCATGTTCTACCTGCCACACGAAAATTTCAAAATCAGATTAAGTTTCTTTGCTTTTAAACCCTGAAATATATTTTCTAGTTACTACTGAATCAAAAATATGTAGTGGAGGAGAGAATACAATGAAACTAATTTGGCAGACTAGATGTCTGTTAAAGGGTAAATTATATTATTTATCCAATTTATGATATTTGAGTAATGGCACAAATGATAGAGGTGATGCAAATTCATGTAAACTGAACTGCCTCATCCACACTATGTTGGATGCAGTATCCATAATTTGGGGGTAGATGTCCAGACAAAAATCTGATCCATTTGTATCCTCAGTTTGCTTAATGCAAGAGGGGGTATTCAATTAAGATTTCATTGTACTACTAGGGAGTCTTCCTACTGGATAACCAATATGCTTAAAATATCAATAATTATTGACTCGAAGGTTATGCGAGTTTCTTGTTTAATTAAATAAAGTTTCAACCTGCATTTCCTTGAGTGCCTCTTCTGCAGCATTTGCCTGTCGGTTCTGTTCTTCAAGTTCTTCCTTTAATTTTTCACATTCTTCACTGAGAGCCTGCAAAGGTAAAATTTAAAACAGAACAAATAAAACAATTTTTTTCAAGAATTATGTAGTTTTCTGTTGATTTCAGGGACCAACTAGGGATGGGCTTGCAAATTGTCATCATTACAAGTACAACAAACAAAAGCTTCTATAATGAGATTTACAGTACAGTCCTTGCTTAGTGAGCACAACTGGGATTGGTCAGTAAGCACAATTGACCTTCATTAAGTGCCACAATCATTAAGTGGAAAATCCTGTGACCGTGATGTTGTCATTTTTAACTCAGTAGTTAAACAAAGCATCATGTGACCATGCTTGTGATTTTGCTTCCATGTTCCCTATTAACTCTGCTTGGTCACTAACAAGGCAGTTGGAAAACAAGGACTACCTGTAGTGTCTATATTTAGACAGGGAAATCATAGTCATGTTAGCAAATGAAATCTGAGGACCCAAAAAATCAGTGCTATCATTTTGACCATCTTATCAGTTCACATAGGGTCAGAATCCACATGTCAGCACCAATTCCTCTGTCTCCCATAGTTATTTTTTCCCCACCTCTAGGCTTGCTCAAGTGTCATCATTAAGAAGGTAGGTAAAAGGCTGTGTGCATGGGCCAAAAGCCTGTGTATACCCTGTCCTATCAGGTCAAGAGATAATAATCCAAATCAGTTTCTCTCTCTAGTTCCAAGCGTCTCCATGGATGTAATACTTCAGCCTGAAGTATACCAAGGACCGGTAGGCAAACTGACTTCTGAGGTATTCTTGGGAAATGTATTGCAGGATCTATTTTCCCCTAGAATAGGTCCATACTTACAATTGTTTATTATTATGCTGTCAAATTGGGGTAGAGCAGATGGGAACCAAATTTTATCCAAGGGCTAAATTAATTCTCCCCACAACATTCAGTGGGCTAGAGCTAGATGATATAAGGAGGAAGATTCTCCTCCTGGAATAACTATCTTTTCTTTTGGTCAAGTGGCTTCCAATCTGCATTTAACTGGAAGAAACTGGCACTTTCCCTTTGGGTACTAAGGCTGCAGAAGAATCAGCAGTTGCAATCAGTATACTTGTAAGAAGAGCTCCGTGTTCAAATGAACATAAAATTGCAGCCTTATTTGATTAAAGAGGATCCAAAATTTACCTTAAATTTTGTCTGATAGTTTAGAATTTCTGTGCTCAGTTGAAATTTGACAGTAGCTACCTCCTCTTTGCTGGTTTCTTGCAAACACTTGGTTTGTTTCTCTGCCAATTCCAGCTGAGTTTGCAGGTCAGGTATGATGGCAGCACAAACGTTTGAATCTTCCAATTTCTCTTGTAATTCTTGTTTCTCATTACTGAATCTTGTCAACTCAAGCTGCAGCCTCTCTTGTTCTTTGATTGATATTTCTTTGATAGCTCTGAGCTCCTCTTTGACTTGGGAGAGCTTCTCTTCCACTTCTGTCTTTTCAGATGTCAGAGAGCAAATCTGAATACCCAGCTCAGCCATGTCCATGTTGGTTCTTTGGAGATGGTCCTTGATTTCCATGTTTTCCATATTAACAACTTCCAAATCACTCCTGACCTTGGACAATTCATCTGTCAGGGACACCATATTCTTTTCCAATTCAGCTTTCTGTTGGGCTAAATTTTTCCATTCATTTTTCTGCATTTTCTCTTCTTCTTTACATTGAAGTAGTTCCTGCACATGGTTTCTGTTCAGTGTTTCATTTTGCTCTTTTAGCTGCTGAGACAATAATTTTTGTTCACTTAAAACAGTTTCTGTAACATCCAATTTGCCCTGAAGCTTTTGTTTCTCTGCAGTTGTCTGCTGAAGCTTGGTTTGAAATTCTATAATTTCCTCCTGGAGCCTAGATATCAGCCTAGATACCCGACTGATATTCTGCTGTTCCTCAGAAATAGCCAGTATTAATGTCAAATCTTCAGCTTCTCTCTCTTGACAAGATACCAATTCCAATTGGGTTTTATCTACGGAAATCTTTTCAGATGTAAGAGATTCAATTATTTCTGCTTGATGAAGGCCATTTTCCTCAAGGGTTTCAATTTTAATTCTATACTCCTCAGCCTGTTCCCAAAGTTGGCTGCACTGATTCTCCAGGCCTTCTAATAACTCAATTTTCTCTGTGAGCTGTAACTTCAGAGATTCTTCACTTTGCCTTGAACAAGACAGATTCTTTTCCATTTGCAGATTATGTTCCTCGGCATTCTGGAGTTCGGCCTGAACTACACTTAAGAATTCTGCAGTCCTATTTTCATTTTGTTTCAATTCTTGGTAATCGGTTTGTAGAGCCTTTAGCTTTTCATCAAAAAGCTGGTTCTTTCTTGTAGCATTTTGCAAGTTTTCATCCAACAGCTTGTTCTTTTCTCGAAGTATCTTCTCTTTTTCGTCCACAGGTATCATGGCATCATCTATCTGACTCTGGAGATGTTTCTCAGAGGCTGTTAATCGAGCCACTTCTCCTTCTAAAAATGATTTAGATATATCTAATTCGTTGCACTTTTCTTTCAACTTCTGATAGGTTTGCTGCTGTTTTGTATTCTGGGATTTGAAGTTTTCATTTTCTTCAAAGGAATTTCTCAACAAGAAGCATTGTTTTGTGATCTGGTGTTCCATTTCCAATACTCTTGTTTTGAGATCGTCTCTTTCCATAACAACTTCCCCTTTTTGCTTTTCTAAACTTTTCACCATATCACTGAATTTTGCTAGCTGCACTTTCAGCAATTCATGATGCTCCATTAAGTTTTTTACTTTTTGTCCCATTGTTGATGTTGTTGTATGACTTAATAGCCTCTCAAATTCTGCATTTTCGTTTCTTTCTTCCTGTAGCTTTTCTTCTAATGATTTTACATAACCCAGTGTATCTGCCAGCTGGATTTGAAAATCAGCTACCATTTTGTCTTTCACTGCTAGCTCTTCCTGAAGTTCAGCCCTTTCAATAGTCATGGCTTCCAGATTAATAAGCAATTTTTCAGATTCTTCCTTAGTGCTAATGGTAAGGCTTTTCAACTTCAATTCAAATTCTTTCTGTTTCTCTTCTTTCACATGGAATTGCTCTTCCATAATTTTAAGATGAGAAAGAAGTTCACTATGCAGTTTCTGAGCATCAGCCTTCTCCTCTTCAGCCAAACAAAGCTTTTTTAATAACTCAGTCTTTAGTACGGAATCATATTGGCTGATGGCCTGGTGACTTTTTTCATCCATAAGACTATTTGCTTTTTCTGCAAGCTCCTCAGTTTTCTTCTCTGCTGATTTTAGTTTGGCAGTAAGCTCATTAATCAAGAGATCTTTCCTGGCCAACCAGATTTCCATGGTCTTTAGCTCTTGATTCAAAGGGATTTTGGAATCAGGGGCATTTTTCAAGGACTCCAGGCTCTCAAGCTTTGCAGAGCATTCTTTCTGCTTCTCAGCTGCATTCAGTTCTAGCGTCTCTAAACATTTCTGGAACTCCTGAATGGTGCCCTGAGTAAGGTGGGAAATCTGTTTTTCTAACTCCCCTAGCATTTTTTTAAGCCTGTCATTCTCCTCCATCATACTGTTGTTCTTTTCTCTTTCCATTTGCACTTGCTGCTTCTGAAGGCTAATAGTGGCCTGAAGCTCTTGCTTTTCTCCTTCCAGATTCTGGATTTGATCCTGTAGTTCCTTCTGCTGCAGCTCTGCCCGATCAAGATCCATGTGCAAATCCTCTAGGCCTTCAAGAGATTCAGTATTAAAAAAGCTATTCTCATTTCGGCTGGAAAGGTTCTCTTGAGCCTAAAAGGAGAGAAAACATCTGAGTTAGCAAGAAAGCTGTTTATAAAAGGCTTTTCAGTGGCTGGGGAATCCTTATAATAGTCTCCTAAAGCAGACCAGCAGGGGTGTTTTTTAGTATTGTTACACAAAGTTAAAGTACAAATGAGGAACACACATGTGACAACAGAGCAACCACCTAGAATAAAAGGATATTGATTCTCTGATAAACATTTTTAAAAACAGCCCAGAAGTGAGGAAAGGTAATGAATCACCACAGTGAGGCTATTTATCAGAGATGCTTTCAGAGATAATAGCATTACTGTTTCCCTCATAGTTTATACATTTATTGGCCAATACAATTACCTGCACAGAGGTGCTCACCAAACTGCTCATGCTTGAACTGCGGCTTGGAGGTTTCCATAGATAAGCTGAGGAGCCAAGTGAACACAATGTTCTCCTGAACATGGAAAAGGATTGTTTTAAGAAAAAAAAAAAACGTTTTCAAGAATTTTGTCTCAGCAACTATCTACCTGCATCTATCCACCTGATATATTTAAATTTATCTTCAGTTTTGGAACGAATGACTACGATCTAGAGAGGCGATCTAGAATTCATGTGAGCATCTAAAGCAAAACCTTTCAAGATGAAATTGGTATTTGTTTATATTTTTAAGAGGGCTTCCTACTTTGATTTCTTCAGTTTTGAAGTAAATGTTATATAAGGATCACCTTCTACATTTCTTATCCCACAAATTACAGGTTTACCTAGTGATGTTTCTTCACTTGCCCCCTATCTTCTCTCATGTGGATCCTCTGCATTAATTGATTCTTCTGGTTTTTGTTACAACTTGGAATAAGAATTGCAGAATTCAGCTCTTCTTTGGCTCTGCCTGAGAGTTATCAGTTGGCTCCTTAACTGGTCAAGTTTACTAGGATCTATTTGGTTCAGAATTGAATATGCGGATAGTTGATTCACAACTAGTTGCTTAATGACTGTTCAACGTTCCAACAGATCTATCCGGGGGTACTTATGACTTGGATTCCGATGGTTGGGGCCCTCTGCAGTCATGTGACTACTTGGATGCTCAGCATTTAGAGCTGTTTGTAGTGTTTCATGACCCTGTAATCATGTTATGATTTTGCCAAAAATCAGCATTTACATCTGACTTTTGGCAAGGCCACACTTGGAGCAAACCAATGGTTTGTTTAATGACCACATATTTGCTTAATGACCGCTTCAAAAAAGTCATAGAATTTTATGACTGTCACAAGTTACAACTGTGATGGGCATGCTCCATTATGTCCATAACTTAGTTGCAATATGAGTTTTAAAAATGTTGAGTGGTAGGTTTATTTCTGATGGTCCTTCTGAACATCTGATCTAATTTGGAAATTACTGGAAAATTGTGAAAAGTCACTATTATTTGACAACTGTTTTTATAAAGAAGCTTTAACACAGCCTGGGGCAAAAATGCTTTATGAAAATTCTAGACTTTATAGGAGTTTTTCTAACATAGTGGCAGCAATTTGCATTACCTGGCAAATGTGGGCCAGCCAGCATCTAAGTCATAGCCTCTTGATGCCAAATCAAATTGAATTTCAGTTAATTCATAGAGGTGACCAACAATATCAGAACTCAGTTTTGGATTGAGGAAGGGACTTCTTGCATAGTACCAGTCACTTTAAGAAATGGGGAAAAAAAAGAAAAAAACACTTTATTTCCACATTTTTCAACAAGATATACAATATATACTGTGATATAAATTCAATCAAGTAATCACCATTACCAAGAAGAACAAAAACAACCATGTTTACCTTGTTACTTTGGTATTCATAAAACACTGTTGTAAAGTGTCTGCAAGCCTTTGGTGCACTAAGGAGTAGCGGATAAATGCCCTCCCTTTCCCAAGAGAAGTGCGGAGCTAAAAAATAAAACAAACCTATTAAAATGCTAACATAACTGAATATTTCACTATGAAATATTCACAATAAGCTTTTTCAGATAGGGTAAAATGGGCCTGGGACTCAAATATAGAAGTAGTTGATCCAGAAGGTCAAAAGTACTTTATAATAGTGAGTAGCTATTGTATAGAAGGTAGGGAGGAGGAAGAACTTAGTAAACATTCAGATCCTGGTGGTTTTTTTTTATTGTGATACAGATGTAATCCTGGAAATAATGAAAAAAAAGATTATACACAAAGAAAAACAGGATCTAGCATTTAACTATCTCTACACTGAGCTTAAACAGAAAAGCAGTTGGGTTTTTTGCATTAAATAATAATATCAAGGAAAAAATAGTGATAGTTTAAATGTCAAAGTGGAGCTAGTTTAGTTATTTGGCTAGATTTAGATGTCACATTAAGCAAAGAATCCTGGCATAATACATCAAGGAGTAGTATACTGTTTGAGATCCAGGATTCATCCTCTGAAAGGGAATGAGTTTTTACATTTTACTCTACAATACTTAAGACACTGCTTAAAATGCAATATTTGGGACATTCCAAATATTCCCAAAATGTGTGTTTCAGGATAATAAAATATCCTCCCTTTTTCATCCTCCTAAGCAAATTGAAGATGTCCCTCTATACTCTCTAAATCTAAAGCTGCCCACCAGAGATAGTTTTGAGAGTTTGACCTTGATAAAACACAGATAATCACTTAATTGCCTAATAGTGAGAAGATGAAATATTGAGAAAACTAAGGAATTTACAATAGACCTGTTAACAACACAAACAGCAGTAAAGCCTTTGATTGAACAAGTGACAATCTCTCCCCCCCAAAAAAAAATGTTGCAAGGACAATTACACCAATCTACAAAACCCTATGGTTAAACTTTTTGATTTAACCAAGGATTTTCAACAGAAGAGGAATCAGAAGGAAAACACAGGCAATTTAATAGATGAAGAGGGAGTGATTTTGCACCACACAAACAACACTTGCATTTCCCCTGATGTCATAGTTCTATCAACTGGACTGCAGGGTAAAGGGACACCACCCCCCAAGAAGAAAAGTTTCAAACTCTGGATGAACTCACTGCCACGAATAGTTTAGCTCAGCAAACTCAATCAAATATTGGAATGCTTCAGACCCCTTGAACCTAAGATGGGAGACCTCAACATAGTGCTTTGGCATGCCAGGCGAAGACTCATGTGAACAGCAGACAAAACACGCAATAAAAGGAAATAAATTTGGTGAAGAATTCCATAGACCAAGAAGCTGCTTTGCCAAGTAGTTTTCAAGAAAATCCAAGTTGCCAATCAGTACATATACTTGAATAGATCCAGTTCTCTCGATTTCATATGTGCAGAAGGCTGACTGAAGGGGTCACGTTACAAGTCACCCCAATTAGCTCTTCTCCTATACTCCTATAGGTACGATTAAGGATACAATGATTCCTATATTAGCAAGGAATCTAGCAGGTTGGAAATATAAACTATGTGATCTACCTGAATTTCTGTCCAATTTTGATCTGATTGCAGTACAAGAGTTCTAGTTAACAGCTAAAGATGAACAGATTTTGATACCTGACTTTAAGTATTGAGTCACTTTGGCGTGGAAAATAAAAGAGAAAGGCTGGGTAATAGGAGATTTGGCAATATTGATCAAGGAAGAACTTGGATGGAAGTACATCAGAACAGAAATCACCATAGTTGCCTTTTCGCTTAACTATTAAATTCCAATATAAGGGCTTTGTGATTGTGATGTTAAATCGGTGGTGGGATTCAGCTGGTTCACACCACTTCGGCAGAACCGGTAGCTAATTTTTTGTTGCCCAGGCCCAGAATGGACTTCCAGAAGTGGCATCCACACAGAGAACCGATTGTTCATATATTTGAATCCCACCACTGTGTTTAAATGTGTATATACCACCACAAATGTCTACATATTACTTCTCTGACATGTGGGTAAATTTAGAGCAAACCCTTATAGAGCTAACTATAAAAACTTCCAAAACTGTTTTTGTGAAATTGAGGCCTTCACATATTAGTAATCTGAATATCCCCGAAGAATTTCATTCCCTATTACCTTTATAATCCTTTAGGGACCAGAAAAGGGCTACTTCTGGTATTAGTTATAAAACCTAGTAAGTATAACTTGCAAATTCTAGCAAAGACCAAAGTTTTGGGTAGTCTTTTACTTACCATTGAAAGAAATCAAGTAGTACTTTAAAATACATATGTGTCTCTAACAGTAATGTGTCCCTTTTCTCAGACTTCCAGGTTTATGTAAGAGATAGTGACTACCAACTGTGGCTGTTAATTTCTACTTCAACCTCAGACAGATAGATGGGTTTCATTTCATCTGTAGTCCACCAGGACAGAAGCATAAAATGGACCAGAATGGATGTGAAGGCTTTGACTGAATATATTAAATCAGATTAAGCCCTGACTCTAGTAAACACAGTTACTTCACCTTGCACAGATGTCAACTCTGTATTTATAGTCTATGAAAATCTAAGTGCAGAATTAAGAAAATTCTTAACCAAAAAGGTCCTTCATAGAAGGTAATAGATAAAAGACCCTCAATGATTTGGCTCAAGAGTGTCACTCCCTTAGAAAAAGATTAAGGCCAGCTATGGATTCAGCATAAAACTATCAATCAAATAATAATTGTGTTACAAGGCTGCTGGAAAAGATCTTCAACTCCCTGAATTATTTAAATGTCACAATGACATCTAATGGGCTCCAGTCATTAAAATTATTTAGTCGTATAAATAATTTTTGCCAAATTCCAGCTGATTGGGAGATTTCTATTGTGAACCCCCTTTTTGTACAAAAAAGTTGAACCTTTAAATTATGAACCAATTAAATTAATTAACATCACTGCAAAGTTGTATGCCAAATATCTTTTATATAAGATAAAGAATTAGTTAATCAAAAAGAGCTTGTTTCTTGGAGACCAAACTAGTTTTAGGTTGAGTTGTTCCACTATTGATAACTGCTTCATTTTATGTTATCTAATAGAAAAATATACAGTTAAAGAGAGCTAACTGTTTACAACTTTTATAGACCTCATTGCAGCATTTGATTCAACATATAGGGCTCTTCTTTAATCAAGGCATTATACTCAAATTCATGCCTAAGGATATGCACAGAACATAAAGTTTCCTAACAGGAAAAATTAGTTCCAACAAAGGAGTCGGACCAGAGTGTATACTGATTCTTATTCTGTTGAATCTGTATAAACGACATCCCCAAATCCTTTCACTCTACTGATACATATATGCCTAAAGTTAAAAAATAAACATGTAAGCATTCTGCTTTATGCTGATGTCATAGACCCCTGTAGGGATAAGCAGAATGCTGCGCAGATATAGTACATTCTACACACTCAACTTGGACTTCAGTAAGTCCAAAATGAAGATAGTTGCTTTCAGGGAGAGGCAGACGATGTATAATTTGAATCTGGATAGGTAAAGCGCAGATCAAGTTAAGTCCTACCTCAGAAACAGGTTCCTGGCTTCCATATTTTAAGAGAAATTCTTTAAGGGCTACAACCTGTGCCAACACCATAGCTACCCAGGTTGTCTACTTCTGTTCATAAAGACATATAACATTAAAAAAAGTCTCAATGATCATATTTGGTGCAGATACATTCCACTTTTTTAAAACATATCTTAGGGTAGACAAATTTACGTTAGTTCCAGCAGAAAGGGCAGAATATACCTGCTACATAAAGCCATTTAGTAATTAAAATATTCAATTAATTGTTTAAGATGCTATCTATGGACCCAAACAGACTACCCAGTTATGTTTTGAAGAATAGCTGCACAACAAGCAATCTGACGTTTGGGCCTCACAACGTTCAAATGTCAGCTCACAATATGGATTATCCATCCAATTCCCAGTCCAATCAGATCTAAAGGCCAAGAAGTTTTGAAACAAAGAGTTATTAATGTGGCTACCCAGGATGATACTGTAGCACTTAAATATGTTCAATCTTTAAAGTGACTGGCACAGCACAAGTCAACTTCCTAGTTAGAGAAATATTGAACATGCCTCAACATTTCACAAGAGCTTTTTCTAAAACTGTTGTTTGAGCAACTGGATTCCATGGTAAGACATGGGAGGTTTCATGGATTTCCATTTGAAGAAAAACTGTGCATTTACGAGCATCAGCCACTGATGACATTGGACACATTCTTGTTGATTCCAAACCATATTCTGCAGGAGGAGATGCTTATTTAGATCCTAATTTAAAAACTAAAAAATATTAGGGCACCTGGGAGAAACTATTTTATGTTTGGAGGAAATGAATCTGCACATCACTAATAAAACTACAGTCTACATTTCAAAAGCCATTTCGAAGAGGGCAGAATATTTAGATCAGATGGGGTTAACTGTAATGATGACAACTTACTATGAACAAGTTCTACTGTTTTCTTTGTATCTGTTTGTATAAATATTATATATTTAATATAGAAAACGTTAAGTACAAGTTTCTGCTAAGGAAGCTGTGGTCACAAGATGACTACACTAATAAAGGATATCATTCATTTCCCATTCAAAATCCCTCTGACTTTACATTAAATCTTATTATTCCTGTGATTAAAAGACATTAATAGTCTTTTTGGGAAGGTTTTCTTAAAAGGATTTATAGACCCAAATGTAACTAAAATAGTTTCTTTGACATAGTAATGCATACAGAATATAATCAGTCCCCAGACCCATTCATATGATCTTCAGAACTCCTCCACAAGATCAGCTACCTAAATTAGGCAACAAAAGGGCTATTTCCAGCAGCGTAAAATTTTTTTTTGAATGAATGGATTAAACTCTAAAAGGGACATGCTCAATTCTTGTATATGATTAACTTTCTTCTCTACTCCCTGAACATGTTGCGCCAAGTCCAAGGAAAAAAAGTCCCTTTTTGTTGATTGTTTTCTGAAGGAGGAAGTAAACCTGATCTACATCCTTGACTTGAGGAAGCTCATTATGGATCAGACAAAACAAATGTAGATATGGCACTTAGATTCAGAATGTGCAATGACAGGATTAGTGGCAATTCAATAGAAAAGGACAAAGGAACAGTGTACTGGGTGTTTTTTAAATTTATGAGTAAGTGCATATTTCTTGTTGCTTTCCTTCATACTTGGGTTCATGTTCATAAGGACACATGTTCATATTGAATATGGATCATCAGGATAGGTAGAAGGAATGTTGATCCCTACAGATTTTTCCCAAGACAAGACTGACTGATGCAGTTTATTCACTGTTTCAATACCGTAAGTTTCTGAGCAACTGTCAAGTTGGCTTATATGGTAGTGGGGAAAAAGGAGCACTGAAAGAACTAGTGTTAGTCTACTTGTTGACAAACAGAAAGTGATCCCATTATGCTTTGTTGGATTGGCCTCCCCAAAAACTGAATTATATGGTTGTTAATGACTGAGCAATGCATTTTACTTACTTCTGAAATAGACTTGACGAAGCGAATACCATCATTTGCACCTTTAACCTTTCTGAGACAGTCACAAAAATAATCCCAGTAGTCCTTCCGATTGCCTAGTAAAGTGGATTTTTCCTTTTGGTCAAACTTTGAAACAGAAAAGGGAAATAGGTAGCTTTAAAGCAGCAATGTACAAAGCATCAATTCTAATTTGTCAGAATTCAATGAATTGATACAAGCTAATTTTTTGGTATAGGAGCCTGTAACTGTTAATTTTGAAGTGAAGTCTGTAATCTAATAATGCAATTTGTGATCTGTAAATAAACAACTCAGACAGCCATCAGCCTCATTCTGCTGAACTTTAGAATGAGCAGTTAATTGTACTACAAAACTCAGTGATAGCCATGAGAATGGACTATGCAGTTATTTTTATTTCCTAAATTCCATTTCCTGCTTACAGTTGAATTGCTGAGATTTTTTGTTTAAATAGAAAACAAATCGTATTTGTTTTCATTCAACTTTTGATTCTGCTTTTCTGTAAATTTCACAATGTTTGATATTAACTCTGTATATTAAATTTCTTCAGAGTCCTTACCTGCAAGAGGTACTCAAGCTTATAAGAAAACTTGTGCAAGATGATAGAGTCATCTGTGACTGGTTCTCCTGCTTCTAAAAATTCTTTGTTCAGTTCTGTCACAGCATCTTTTGGAAAGAACACAATGCAATTGTTTGTAGTTAATTAAGAACAAGCAATAACAAGGCTTCCGGTTCCGGATCGCGGCACCAGCGGACGTGCGGGGAGAGCGCTCTCTCTGCCGTCCAGTTTCCCTTCATTGGAAGACCCTGGAAAGGGTCGAAAGTTGCCCTGGAGGGGCAACCACTGCTGAGGAGGACCCTCGCTAGATCGCTGAAGGGCGGTAGCCCTTCCGTTTGATCCAAGGCAGCTCCTTTGGACTGACGAAAAGATTGGCAATTAACATGGCTGATCACTAAGATGTATCAGCCAAAAGCCAAAAGCACTATCAAGCACAACGAAAGCAACGCGGAGGAATTGGGTGAGACCTTACCTTACCTTTCTTGCACCCCAACTACCTTCCTGTAAAAGCCTTTGGAAATTGTTCCCACCTTTCTAACTTGGTGGCTTCTGCCTACTCTGGGAACATAAAGCTATGGGGGAAAAAAGAACAACTAATCTAAACGATTCAATAATTGGATTTGCAATTTTTGGATATTTGGGGCCCTAAAAGGTTCCTATTCTTACAGGGACTTATTACTTTACTTATCTGTTAAGCTGGAAAAAAAGGTTATTTTTTCAAACCGGATAAAAGCCTAACTTGAGTTTGAGAAAGACTTTACATGTCACTGAGGATATCTTGTGGCGAAATTTGGTACAGCAAGTGAATTTCTTTTTGATTGGGAGACTTGTGAGACTAAGATTTGGCCTTGGCACTATCAAAAAAGATAAGAACTTGAAACAGCTGGTTGGTGAAAACAACTCTCTATAGTGGAGGTGGACACTATTGTCTTTTATCAAAAATAGCCTCCACTAAAGGACTATCTATAAACACCATAGAAATCCTTGAGGCTACTGAGCTAATGAATTCCAAACTGAAAAATAAAGACGCCACTTCAAAGCTACAAAATGCAACCCAGACTCTAACTGATGAACCTACAACCCAAAAGGCAACAGAAGAGGAAGGAATTAATATATACCAGCTACAACCCACTGAGAACCCTGATACCCAGACCTTGATCTTAATCAAAAAACCTGCAACTCTACCATCAGAAACTGAAGAAACCAACACTAAGACGGAAGGTGCTGAAGATTTATACGTACAACACATTGAGAACCTAGATAAACCAGACAACCAAACAACAACTATACCACTGAACATGACTTTCTACTTAAACCAGCTGAAACCGGAACAAGAAGAGGACCAGACTGAATTGATGACAGATGTACTGAGCCAAATATGGAGACCTGAATTATTGGATCAACAATCTAATGACTATGAAGGGGCCAGCTTCTTTGGAAAATTGATAATTGGATGGTCTCCCTTGATTCAAATGACATGTGTAGGGATGAAGGGAGATCCACCTGAGGAGTTAGAGGCATTGCTATGGAAGCCTGCTTAGCACAAAAAGAAAGCTAGAGTTAGACTTAAAAATGGTTTTTTTTATGTGACCTATAATGAAAGAGTTTAAAATCTCTTTAAAATTTCACTCAATGGCCTAAGGAGAACTTAAAAGATACTAATTGATTTAATATTTAGGATCTAGATTTGTAATGGAAATAAAAAATAGTTACTAGAATAATTGTTTTGGATTATAATGCAGAACTTGGATTGAGATGATAAATGTTATCTTATTAGTAAAAGATGAGGTATTAGGATGAGAAATAAAATATGTTTGTGAAATAAAGTAAGAAGCTATCTGAGTAAATAATAAATGTATTTTAGATATGACAATTATTTTGTAATGAACTAAGGGAACTTTGGGTTAAAGACTATGGATATTAAGTTAACTGGAATACTTTAACTAAAATTAGGTAAAATTCAAACAGGATATAAAGGCGTACAAGACAAAATACATTGATAAATGTCTTGACTGATTTATAACTAGCAATGTTGAATGTGATACAATAACTAAGGGAAATAGAAAGGAAATTTTTGATGATGTAACCTGACATATGCATGGAAGAGCTTGTTATTTGATTATGGACTACCCAATCATCATGTTGCTTCCTTAACACTTGGAGCTTTGTAAAATTTGGAAAATTAATAAAACTTGTTTTTTTTAAAAAAAGAACAAGCAATGGTTATATAATTCTCTGTTTTCCTCAGAGAAATGTTGATCAGTTGGCAATGTCATAAACTAGTAAAAAAACACTGAAAAAATGCAAACATTATTCTATTTCAATTTAATCAAAATACAAATTAATATAGTGTTAGGGCTATTTTATTTATTTGTTAAATTTATTTGCTGGCTACTCCAGAAAGCTTACAATAATAAAAAGAAAGAAAATGAAATAAGTTGTAAACAAAAATAAAATAATAGAACAATAAAATAAGCAATTAAAAACAATTCATACAGTATCATTTATGGCAGAGTCAGACAGATACAACTAATGCACAGCATTAAGAATTTTAAAGGCTAGGATTATATGTATGGTACAATTCCATAACACAACAGATATTGGCACAGAAGCTACAAATTAATCCATCACAGTAAATGAGTACTTTGATATCTTTTGGCATGTTACAAAGAATGTATGTGTATGTGTGTGAATGTTTGTGGATAGACACAGAGAGAGATAGGGAGAATCAGTGGTTGAGGGTATGATGCCTATACCATACTTTAGAGAAGCAGCATAAATTATGCAAATTGTATTACTGGATATTTTACTTCCTTTTATTTGGGAATATAGTTTTTCACAGAAAATACATTGTTCCTTACAAGTTGAGGAATAGCAGAAGAAACTACAAGGCTTCAGGTTACCATATAATATACCCACGAAATGTGGGGAACTTATATGTATGATTGTGTAAGAGAGAGATAGAGAAATCTACTAAAATGGCTGCAGTCCAAATTTCCAGCCAATGCCAATAAAAATAGATCTGTCTGTCATTCTTGGAGTTGTACTGGTACATTTTCAAGGATCTTTGATCTGGGAGAATGAAAAACTATCATTTAAACATTAAATAAGATCTGAAACAAGACTGAATTTTCCAACAATCAAATGGTTTCCACAACTAATAAAACCAGCTACATATTATGGTCAACTTGCAAAGATGCTTAAAACTGAACACACAAGTTGTACAAATGTTCCTCCTACTTGGCTGAAAAATTAATTTCTAAGGTGCTTGATGAGCATTTAAGTACTTCACAAGTCAGGTGTAGAAGATTCCATTGGATAGACAGATATTCAGGAATCTAAATTATCTTATTCTTTGTATCATGAGCATATTTGTCTTTTCCTATAAAATAATGTGACTGGAATAAATAAGTAGATAAACAAATATTTTACCCTGCATATCCCGGATAATCCTCTGTAGCTGAGTTTCACCACTACTTGCCATTGTTGAAACCAAAATGTAGAGATTGCTCTTTTCAATTTCTCACAAGGCTAGGTGAAAAAGGAAGAGTTTGTGTTGTCAATAATCTTCAGGTTAGTGGTAAGTAGTTATTTCTTCAGTATCTTTACGTCTAAAAAAAAAATATTTACTTACAATTGGTAACATTCTAATTTTTAAAAGTCATGTTTAATGTCTACATAGGTTTTTAAAAGTCATATTTAATGTTGTTTTCCCCTCCCTCAAATTATAAATTTCTCAAGATTTAAGACAAAAATCATCAAGGTTTTCATCCTAAGAATCTGTATTTTTAAAATGTTTTTCTGAAGGATCTAAAAAACATATTCCAAAACATGGTGATATCATAAAAGATCTTTTTCATTTGGCATCTTTTGGGGGGAAGAAACAATAATAATCCAATATTGAAAATTAATGGCATAGATTCAGTTTGGGGACCATGACAAATTTAGGCATAGAGACACACTATAAATAAGGCATCTAAATATCATTTTCAATGTTTTCATTGCAACCCTATGAAGTGTCAATCTATGGCATATTTCTTGACTGCTAGTTCCTTTACAGTTGACAGTTGATCCTGAAAGGCAGAAAACATCTTCATTGTCAGTTCTAAGATCATATTGTGGAATGGTTGAGTTTGCTCTTCAGTTTCAGGCGACTTGGAACTGGCACATAAATGATTTGTAATGTGTTCTGCATTCAGCTCCTGGCTACATCTTTGTTGTGATAACTAAAGAAGAAGATTGACATTATCACAAAGCAAATGTCTTGCTGAAAAAGATCAGCATTTTCAGAAAAATTATATACCATCAGCTAATTCGTAAATAAAAAGTATTTTAATAAAATTGTGTTTAGAGAACTGCAAAAAGCTTTGACTAAAGTTATCGCTAAGAACTCCTAAATAAATGTAATAGTTATAGTGCTAGAGGGAGCGTTTTTGAGTGAGCAATGAAATAGCTGATTTTTTTGATGACCTACTTTCATTTAGGCTTTCAAAACAGAAAGGAATAGTAAAGATGTCTGCAAGCTATGGAGATGCATGTTGAAATGACAAATGCAGCCCAACTTAGCCAGTTCTAAGTAACTCACACTGAGGTGAAATATGAGGTCTGAGCTAAGAGGTGTTGTGGTGCTTCAGTTGTGGTCAATTTTGCCCCAGTGCCAAAAGCAAATCCTGTGATGGGGATCATTACAGAAAGAATAAAAAATAAATTAAGCATAACTGGTTGTATTGAAATCTGCTGGCTCACATTTCAAAAATACATTGTAGAGTTGAATAAAATGTTGAAAAGATACTCAAAGTTGTGAAAAGGCTGGGGCAAATTCATTGAGAGGAAAGCCTGCAGGTTTTTCACTCTTTCAAAGGAGCACTAAATCTATGTCTGGGAATAGCCTAACTGGCAAGTCACAGGTGTGGAACATGTCCATGTCTGCAACCTGTTAAGCAACTTCACAGATGGCTAAACACACCACACCTGTCTCTCTTTGTCCAACTTCACCTACGCCATATAAGGGAGATAGATTTATTGTTGTGCTCTTGTGACCATATATTTAGGTGAGAAAACAAAACAGCCAGAGGAATCCTGGATTTTCTTTAAGCAGCAAATTTTCTTTCCGCATACATTTCTGCTGTTTTAGGGCCATTTGGCAATACCTTTACTCATAGTTGACCCAGCCCACTGTTTATTCAATAAGCCGTTTGTGCCCTAACACGTTCTGCTCACACAGCTAAATACCAGATGCAATCCAGCAAACATTTTCTCAACCAAAAGAGTTGCAGCCAATGGGGCAAATGGGAGAAGAATCCGTCCACCTGCTTGCATTAACTAGTTGCTTCCCTAGAAATGCAAAGGGCCTGACTGCTCCTTTATTCCTCTTGGATCTTCGCTTTCTGCAATCGATGTTGCGCTCAAACTCAAAATATTTATCTGCTGTTTGGGGTGGTCTAGAGCCTAAACTCCGGCGCTTCTTTCCGATATCAGAAAGAAAACACTCCAGACCGAAGGGCGAGTTGCAAAGCGACGGACTAGAACCCTTTTTGACGGACTAGAACCCTTTGGAAAAACGGGGAAGTGACCGGGACGTCGTTCAAAACCGAATGCTTGGAACAAGGCGAAAGAGAAACCAAGGCCTGTGTGAATTAATAAGTTATGCTAAAAAGTAAAATGGGACGCTTTTCCTGCCATTTTAGCCTTGTTAAGCCTCGCCGCTTTCAACAATCATCACAGCCGGGACGCTCCAGCGCAATCAGGAAAAAAAAGCAACAAGTGGAAGTATTAAAGTTGCTGCTATAAGAAACTGACACCCAAAAACAAAGTAGATAGATAAGTTACCACCAGCCACTTTCTGGAAAAGAAATCACCTTTATCGGGGCGCTTGCGCGAGGTGGTGAATGGAGGAAAGGGGGTAACTCCAACGAAAGACAAACGCACATTACCTCAAACTCAAGGCAGCCATCACTTAGCTAGCATCTCCATATTTTCCTACATTCCCATGATTCACAGAGGCAAAATATAGCTCCCGTGGCTCTTCCGGGCAACTTTTTTTTTTAACCCTTTAACTGCAAATCATAAACAGTTTACTGAAAAGCTACTCGGTTTTTTTGTGTATGTGAGATTGCAAAAATCAAAATTCTTGAACATTGATATATTAATATATCTCTTTATGATTGAGAATTGGCTTAATAAATGCATTGATCCACCAACGGTTTGGAAACTTTACTGGAGTTTTAGGGGGGGTGATGTTAATGTTTTTTTTAATTTCAGTATTTATCCCATTCCAACCTTTTCCCAAGTGTTGCCTACAGACTCAGGCATCCTGAGCTTGACGTTTGGCTCGAGCCAAGAAATTGATCCCCGAATATGAGAAGAGACTTTTGTTTCACAGAGAGACATCTTTGCCTATCTAAAAATACATATCACCAAGTAATTCAGGCAAAGCAAAAAAGCATTTATTATGGGGGTACCAAATCCTTTTATTGGATACAGAAACAAATGATATATATACATTTGTGTACATAATATATCAGAAAACAAGTTATCAAACAATAAAACCCATGGGCCAAGGTATATGGCTGGATGGTCATCAGCATCATCAATGTGAGACTTGAATGTCAGAAGTAAGTTTTCATCCTGGTTCATCCAAGCCGGGAATAAATAAGCAACATGGGGACTGCTTTGGGAAGATGGTTATAGTTTATTGAAGAAGCAGAAAGATGGTTTTTTTTTTTATTGAAAGTTTTATGAAATTTTACAATATAAATCCCCCCCTCCCCCCAAACCCATCCCTCCATCCCTCCCCCCCTCCTTCCCAGAGCCAATCACAGGATTAACAATAAAATAATCATGATCTAACTAATATTAATCAATTATTAATCTAACAAATCTATAACTTCCTTTAACTCTCTTTTAAAACAAATATACAGTTATTGAATACCATCAAATTAACATAGTTATAAATAAAATCAAAAATTCATTCAAAAACCAAATGGTATTTTTTTGTTCCATATTTCAACTCAATATAATCAATCCATCTTCTCCAAACCAATATATATCTTTCTTGTGAGTAATCCTTCACATAAGCGGAAATCTTGGCCATTTCAGCTAAGTTTGAGACTTTAACTACCCAATCTTCTATATTAGGTAAACCTTTCATTTTCCAATATTGAGCAATTAATAATCTTGCAGCCGTTATAAGATTTAACATCAACTCCACTTCTTTTGCGTCCAAATCTTCCAAAATACCCAGCAAAAATATCTGTGGTTTAAACTTTATCTTTTTCTTAAAAATATCATCAATGTGAGACTTGAATGTCAGAAGTAAGTTTTCATCCTGGTTCATCCAAGCTGGGAATAAATAAGCAACATGGGGACTCCTTTGGGAAGATGGTTATTGTTACGTCCGGAGAAGAATGGCGAAGGAAACAATGCATATTGCCAACAGTCTTTATTCTCTCGTTACAACTAACAACAAGCAAGAGCAGAGGCTCGCAGGCCTCTATTTATACCCTCTGATCCCCGGGCAATTCCAACCAATGGCAGGCAGTCTTTTCCCACCTTGCGCATGCGCGCAAGGCCGGCGCCGCTCAGTCTGGTCCCGGGCAGCTTTTGCAAATGCCCGGGACTCTTGCATCGTCCCGAGCCTGCTTCTGCGGGCTCAGGACACAACACCCCTCCCCCCTAGATAAAATAATGCTGCGCCCACATGGACGCCACCTGTGGTAGATCCTGTAATTGCTTACTGATGCATTAAATGCACAGAGTGTGAGAGGTATGGGCCATTCTGTCTTTTCCTAGAGCCAATGCGCCCAACCCAGTTTCCTAAGAGCTAATCAGTCTGGACCTCTTTGCCAGGTTCCTATACTCTTCCTCACTTTACATAATCTGCAAGGTATTTAGGAGGGCCCTTGACCCGTAGCGACCTTCTCGGACCTGGAGACCTTGAATTGTTCCCACCATTGCTTTCCACACTAGGTGAATTACCCTGTGGTTGTCTAATGACTGCTGCCTGACTTCCCTGCCCGCCTCCTAGGCTCAGGAAGACAGGACTCTGCTGTTCACTATACCTGGTTGACCTACCTCTTAGGGAGTTCTCTAAGCCCTCTGAACGCATCTCAATGTTCACTGAAGGTGTGTAATTTTCCTGACTCCTATCTATAGTGATAGGGTCCAAGGATACCTCCCGGTTAGCCCTAATACATGGGGACATCCTTCTGCGAGCCATTGCTGACAAGGGCATGTCCCCACCCTGTTGTGCCTGCTCTCTTGTATGTTGTGAGTTCTGTGTATGCTCCCAGTCCTTCTCCTTGTCCGGAGTATTGTTGGTGAGTTGTGAGTAGTTATTATACCTCCGGTGTGACTCCCAGGCTGGAGTGAGTGTGGGGGTGTCTGTTTGCCCTCTGCCCCATGAATTCCTATTTGGAGCACTTACGGAATGTGGGTGTTGCGTACCCATGTTGTCCTCAACAGCCAGTGCTGGCTGCTGATTCTGATTCCCAGAATGCATTTCCCAGTCTTCCTCCCCCCCTAGCGAAGACAGAGGAGGAAACCTAGGTGAGTCCCGCCTCACACGTAGTTGATCAATGTGGCGGCGAAGAACGCGGCCGTCTTCTAAGGACACCTCGTAGGACAGAGGCCCCGAGACCTTGCAAACCACAGCCGGGACCCAGAGGTGTCCAGGCCCATAATTCCTGGCCCAGACAGGATCACCCACATGCAGGACCCGAGGTGGGTGCGGCTGAGACACCTGTGAAGCTACTCGTTCCGGATGCAGCCTGTCCAATTTAGTCACCAGCTGGCGACCCCAATGGAGCTCAGCCGGGCACTTACCCGTGGCAGTGCATGGAGTAGAACGATGGGCTAGAAGGAAATCAGCCAACCTGTGATGCCAGTTGCCATAAGTCAGTTTCTTGAGAGCGTCCTTGGCGACGTGGACCATTCGTTCAGCCATACCATTGGTGGAAGGGTGGAATGGAGCCGAAGTAGCGTGGCGAATCATGTTGGTTTGTAGAAAACCCTGAAACTCAGTAGAAGTAAATTGAGGACCATTATCCGACACCAAAACGTCTGGCAGACCATGTGCAGCAAAAATGTTCCTCAACACCTGAATGGTCTTGGCAGCAGTGGTGGATGACATAGGCACAACCTCCAGCCATTTGGAATGGCTATCTACAACAACCAGGAAGAATTGTCCCTGAAAGGGCCCAGCGTAATCTATATGTATTCTAGACCATGGAGTGTGTGTTTCCTCCCACCTATGCACAGGGGCCTGGGGCATTTCTGGCCTGGATTGCTGGCACGCATGACACCATGTACCTGGGCCTCAATGGCCCTATCAATGCCAGGCCACCACAAATGGCTGCGCGCAAGCGCTTTCATCCTGACAATCCCAGGGTGGCCCTCATGTAATGACACCAAGATTCTCGCCCTCAATGAGGCCGGAATCACAACTCTAGAGCCCCAGAGGAGGCAGCCATTGAAAGTTGACAACTCGTGCCTCTTGACCCAAAAACGTTGAAAATCCTCCTCAGGGCATCTGTCAGGCCATCCTGACAGCACCCATGTCAGCACGCGTTTGAGCGTGTGATCAGTGGCAGTTTCAGCAGCCACATCCCTAGCATTAAGGGGACACTCTGGCAATTCCTGAATGGACAATATGTGCACAGCAGGGGCAGGATCAGGTTCCACAGTAGGCAATGGCAGCCTACTTAATTCATCAGCATGACCCATTTCTCTGCCAGGTTTGTGAACTAGTGAATAGTCATAAGCAGACAGAAAAATGGACCATCGCAGCATGCGAGGGGACAGAATTTGTGGGGTTTGTTTAGAGGTAGTGAATAACCCCAGCAACGGCTTGTGGTCAGTAAAGACCGTAAAATGGCGGCCATAGATGAAATCATGGAATTTTTTAATTCCGGCCACAATAGCCAAAGCCTCCCTATCAATTTGAGCATAGTTACGCTCAGCAGCAGACAATGTCCTAGAATAATATGCCACAGGGACCTGAGTCCCATCAGCAGTCAGATGGCTAAGCACAGCGCCCACACCATAGGGGGAAGCATCACAAGCCAGACACACCGGTAACTGCTCATTAAAATGAGCTAACACAGCATTGGAAGTAAGCAAGGCCTTAACCTCATTGAAACTGGCTTCATGGACTTTGGTCCAACGCCAACAGGCATTTTTATCCAGAAGTCTGTGTAAAGGTTCAGCAATAGCAGCTTTATGAGGTAGAAAAGCATGATAGAAGTTTAGTAAACCCAAAAAAGCTTGTAATTCCCCCTTAGACTTGGGGCTTGGAGCCAGCTGAATAGCTTTGAGCTTAGCATCAGACGGATGAATACCCTGAGCATCTATCCTGAACCCCAGGAAATCAGTGGAATGCACACCAATCTTACATTTGTCCTGTTTTAACTTAAGGCCTGCTCTTCGGAAACGCAGCAAAACAGCCCTTAACTTCTCAGCCAGCATTTGGGCAGAGTCCCCCACGATGAGAACGTCATCAAAATAAGGACACACACCAGGAATACCCCTCAGGGTATTTTCCATTACACTCTGAAAAATGCCAGGGGCAACATTCACCCCAAACTGCAACCTTTTCACCTTGAAAGCCCCTCTATGGGTAACAATTGTTTGAGCCTCTGCTGCTGCATCATCAACAGGCAGCTGTTGATACGCTTGAGCCAGGTCAAGCTTAGCAAAAATCTTGCCCTCTTTGAGAGAAGCCAAGATGTGGCTCACTACAGGCACAGGATAAGCATGTTGCTGTAGGGCCTTGTTTAGTGTGCACTTGTAGTCTGCACAAATACGAATGTCCCCATTTGCCTTTAAAGGCGTTACAATGGGAGTTTCCCATGGGCTGGAATCTACAGGCTCTAATATGCCTTGCTGGAGCAACTTGTCCAGTTCAGCATCAATTTTGCCCTTAAGAGCAAATGGTACTCTCCTAGGCTTAACCCTTATGGGCTGTACAGCTGGATCCAGCTTTAGTGAAACAGGAGGTCCCTTGTAGGATCCTAG